CTGTCCAAGCTCCTTTTCTGTGCACTTTGCATTCGAAGTTACTATGATTTAAGCTAGGAAGCTCAAAAGCGGCACCGCAGGACCACCCCGAAGGACTAGGGACAAATCATGAGTCCATGGTTCCCATGTAGTACTAACGTCGGCCTCACAAAGGTGACTCCGCTGGACTTCGAGTGGGCACACGTAGATCACCGTGGGCAGCCTAGCACTTGCCAGTGTGGAGCAGCAGCACAAGTCAGGCAGACTTTCATCTGAAGCATCATGGTCTGTCGTGGTTGGTGATGCTTTAGGTTTTTTAAAGAAGCCTAGACACAGAATCATTGTTATCATGCCGCTGCCAGAAAGCCCAAGCCACCTGCCACTGTCATCATCATTCCTCTCCCTTTCCTCGTTCTTTCTCGTCGGACATGTCGTCCTCCGGTTCCGCTGACCGAGCAGGACTTCCCCATGGACTCCCGTTTTTTCTTCGCCGTTCCACCGACCCGCAGGACGAGGTCATATTCGATTTTCGTGCGATGGACTATTACCTCGCGTCGGTCTGTGGGATGGAAGACCCAAGTACCATCCTGCAGCGTAATCTCGATTATTGCGAGCAGCTGCCGTCGAACTGTTTGGACTGCCTTCCGCCGGGCATTGACTCGCAGGAGGATTTGCAGTGCTTCCTCGCCGATCTGAGCCTTGCGCAGGCATATTATTTCCGCACTGGACAACCCGACAGGATGCCCGAATGGCGCACCGAATGGCTCTCGACTGTCTTTGTACCCGAACACTCGCCGTACGACACGCAGCAGAAATGGGCGGACAGGCTCGTTACACCCATGTTGGTTGTAGCGTGGTTTCTATGAAGGTGCATGCTTTTAAAGCCATATAATATTATAATACATTGATTATTTTCCACAGAGCACATCCCGTAGGCTTTGGTCTTGGCTTGCTGCAACCGATGGACTGCTGTACAAGCGGCCCCCTGCCTTCGCGACACGGACTCCTCGGACGGTGAGTGAGAGAGACTTCTAGATTTTAATAGTTTGTGTTTCTGATAATTGAATTGTTCCCTAGCAGGAAGGACGACGGCTGGCAGATACTCGTCGAACACATGCAGGGCGATAAAATGTTGGAGTGTGGCACTCAGCTATGACATCAGCGCACTCAGTCATTCAAGCATTCCAGTACTTGCACTTGTGTGTGTGAGTGGTTAAACACGCAGCACCCACTGCCGGTCCAGGCTCTGCTTCAAGCAGATACTCGGGGCGGCCCAGCGCAGGACAGACAACGCCCTCTCCGCCGGACTCCATTCCCCGCTGTTCGGTTCCCGACACCCGCAATCGTGGATGGTCGAGATGCTGAACCGCGACTGGGAGGCCTACCCGGTGGCCGTCCCCGTTCCCTGGCAGGGCCACATGTACTACGCGGTGTCGTCGCACAACGCGTCGGACTTGTACTTCTGCATCACGAAGGGCCCCGACGGACGTGCAACAGCAGAACCAGTAAGATTTTTGTTGGTAAACCTTGTAGTATAACTGAAATACTTACCAAGTCGACAAATTTTCGGACATCGCTGGTTCAGGTGACACGATCGACTTTCAGTGCATCGGACTGTTTCTCAAGAAACTCGAACTTGGACCGGGCTCGTGGAACTAGCCGCAGTTCGTTCAAGCACGACGTACCCGCCGGCCAGTCTCCATTTGGAGTTCTGGAGCAGTTCGCTCTCGCCGGCCAGTCTCGAAAGTGACACGTTTTCTGCACTCGGAGTTCAGATCAGTTCGCTCTCGCCGTTCAAAAGAGTTGTCCTGGCACACTTTACATTTGCCGGATGTTAGTTCCTATCGCACTGTTTGCTGACTTAAACTTTTGCGCTTCAGGTTGCTGACATGGACTGGCACCTCTTTGGCGGGGTCCTCGGAGTTCTGGTGCTGCACAGTTTGTGACGATTTGCATCGGCACAGTTGCTGTGTTCTTTCCTGTCACACTCGGAAGCGACAAGTGCTTGAACCACCCGCAGTCACCAGTCACTCGTACTAGGTTTGTCATGTGCTTCATGCATTGCAATTGAGGTCGGTCACTCCTCGTTCGGTTCGCAGGGCACGGCCACACGGCAGGACGAGGACTAAGTCAGGGGTCATGCTTTCGGATTGTGACAAGGCATTCCGCGGACTCTGAGGTAAGTTAGGATCCACCTGCAGCAGACATGGAGCAATTGCCGTAGACATAAAGAGTTAAAGGCCTTTGAGCAATTGGAGTCCGGTTTGTTGCCTGGGTTGCCATTTCAGCATTTCAAGCATCGAGTGCATAGAATCGAGGGTGAGCGGTAAATTTTAGTGTTGGGCGTTACACATTAGATTTGTTGTTTGTGGCTGTGAATCATTAAGGTTAGTTCTGGCCTATTCATTGCGGGTGGTGTCTCCTTAACTAGATCTACTTACAGTGCATGGTATAAACCGATTTCACTTCTGGAAGTTCACCATACTTGTCCACAGAGGGGCTTCGGGTGTGGCTTGATTCAGGAAAATAATCATGAGGTGTACAACTCAGTACTACGACTACTACCACGACTAGTACAAGTACTACTAGCATTGGTACTGTACTACTACTACTACTACTACTACTACTAGTAGTACTAGTACGACCACTACCACTACTACTACTACTACTACTACTACTACTACTACTACTACTACTACTACTACTACTACTACTACTAGTACTACTACTACTACTACTACCTACTACTACTACTACTACTACTACTACTACTACTACTACTACTACTACTACTACTACTACTACTACTACTGTACTAGTAGTACTACTACTAGTACTACTACTACTACTACTACTAGCTAGCCAGCTAGCTAGCTAGCTAGCTAGCTAGTACTACTATTACTTCTGCTAGCACTACTACGACTACTACTGCTACTTCTAGTACTACTACTACTACTACTAGCTAACCAGTACTACTGCTACTACTACTACTACTATTTCGACTAGTACTACTACTACTACTACTACTACTACTACTACTACGACTAGTACTAGTACTAGTACTACTACTACGACTACTACTACTACTACTACTACTACTACTACTACTACTACTACTACTACTACTAGTACACTACTACTACTACTAGTACTACTAGTACTACTACTACTAATACTTCTACTTCAACTAATAGGGACTGCAATTTCGGCCTACTGGTTTTTCCTTTCTTTAATGAGTAGTGGTACTGCTGCTAGTACTACTCTTCGCAATCTGGATTAGTATTGCTACGAGTAATTACTAGACCAGTAGTCAACCAGCTGGAGGAAGGCGCTCTTGCAATCGCTGTTGTCCTGTTCATATGGAGGACACGGACTCCATTGGCCGGCATCGCTGCCGCTGAGCCTTCTCGTTTCAGGCACTGTGCTCTCGTGCGGTCTACGCTTTGTGTCTTGCTTGCCATGTTCGTCCAGTCACAATGCACTGTGAGACCACCCAGCAGCAGGGCTTGATTGATTGTTTGGTTTTCCGAAGCCGTCCTGCCTGTGCGTTGAGACTTCGTGCAGTCTTATCATCCTTCCCCCGTCGTTCTTCCTCGACGGACCTTGCCCAGCATGCCTCGTGATGCCGGCCCCCGCAAGCCCACCCTCAAGCAGCTGGCGAAGCAGAAAGCGAAGGACATCAAGACCCGGGAGCGCAACGAGGCGACGTTCGCATCCGCCGTTCAGCACTCCAAAAGCACCATACTCGACGTGGACATGCGGTTCATTCAAGACACGCTGACCCAGAACCCGACTTGGATTTCTCCACTCGCTGGTCTGATCCGCTCGGGCTCGTTGAATGGTCTTCTGAAGGACGTTGCCAAGAAGGAGGAGACCGGTGGACTGAGATGGAAGGGCAAGTGCACCAAATGGGGCAGTTTGCCGCTTGAGATGGCGAGCTTAATGCTCAAGCATTGCGGTGTGGAGCTCGCGGAGGACGTACAGAAGGACGAACCCGTCGTACGGACCCTCTTCGAGATCCAGTTCTGGGCAGCCAAGTCGGCGTCCTTGCCATCTCGTGCGGACATTCGCTATCAGTCCACGTTGGTCAAGTTAGCGAGGGCCCGCATGGAGGACGTTGGTCGCAACTACATAGCTGCGGTGAACTCGGCGGAGGCTATCAGTGTTGACCGGGACAGGTACAACATCTGGTCACTTGAGAACAACACGTTGTACTGCCACGTCTTTGCCACACAAGATGGACACCCTCGCCGTTCCCGCTCGGAGTTCGTACCCAACGAGTCGTACCTCAGCCACGAGCTTCCTACTCTCCCGGACAACAAGACGTGGCAATTGGACGACCCTTTTGCGGTGGACTGTGTCATTTCAGATGGACAGCATAACTCGTTGTTCAGTTTTGAATGCGCGAGTTTCTTTCCTACTTTGCCGGACATGAAGGCCAAGTGGACCTTCGACTTGTCGTCGGACGCAGACACCACGGCTGGCCTCGGCGACAATGTGCCGCAGGGCACCCCGTCGGTCCGGAGTGCATAATGCACTCTCTCCTGGTAGTTCAGTGTGTCTTGAGTTTGGGGTTGACTTTACTCGTTGTTCTGTCCAGTTTGTTCACTCGAAAAGCACAATGTCGTTCGCCTCGCCGTTCGACCCATTGTGTCTGAGTGAGTGGACAGGCACGAGTTTCACTGGGGCCGTGAAGCCGGCAACTTGCAAGCTGCATAAAAGAATACGTGCGATGAATGGCTGACTGCAATAATGACTTCCTTGCGGTGCCTTGCAGTATGTGCTACATACATGTTGCAGAAGAACACAGACCCATGACACGTGGTGTGAGCACTGCCTTGCGACATCAGCGATTCGTTGCCGCTGTCTTTGGGCTTCCAGAATAAAAGCTGCATGCCTGCAGAGCCTCCCTTTCTCTTGGTTTGGCAGATGTCACATATACTTCCTGGGACATAGCCTATAAAGTTTTGCTACATTCGTTCACCAGAAACAGACTGTAGAATTGATCCACTCGCTATCAGATGCTGGAGCCCGCTTCTGCCGATGGACCCTCTTCTTCAGGACCTCCAGCTTTTTTCAGCTCTGCGTCGGACAAGCGTCGGACAGTTGCATTTTGCATTCCCTGCGGGACACACGGAAGCCTGAAGGGCGAGAGCTACAAGTACAAAGAGCCGCAGACCAAGGTAACGGATGGACATCGTTTTTGGCACATGCGTTGGTTTGTGGACTTCCTCGGAGGACACGAGTCTCGAAATTTCCTCGCAGGCAGTGTGTCGACGTTCAGGAACAAGCTCTTCACGATTGCATGGCCCTGCTGGACAGACACGGAGGACGCTCTGAAAAAAGAGATCGAGTCGCACTTTCTCCAGAGTTCGTTCTCCCTCCTCAAGCAGCAGGAGCACGCTGCAAACGCCGAGAAGAAGGGCACCAAACGAAAGGCATCCTCGCAGCAGATGCAGGACGACATGGAGGACGACAACGAGCAAGCGGACAATGAGGAGCACACGGGTGACCAGATGGAAGAGGTAGCAGCTGGACGAAGCACACGTTGTACAGAGTTTGCCACGTCGAGCTTTGCAACGATTGTTCTTTTGCATCAATGGCACCAGGGTATGCGCAAAGATGCCAAATGGAAGAAGCCGGCAGAGGAGGTATCCAAGCTGGCCGGGGAGTTGCTTCAAGGCCTCGCTTCCTTGTTCCTGCAGACCCCGCAGGACTTCTCATTCACGTGGGACGGAAACACTCTGGTGCTGCCGTTCAAAGGAGGTTCGCTGGACGTGGACGAGGTTGTACTGCAAAACAGTTTACTTGCTAAAGTACTACACCGCGATCGTTCCCGATTCATGGACGTGCTGCAGGATGTGAATGTGGACTGCACCCGTCGGACAATTGGAGACACTCGCAAGTCATCTAGTTTGAGGACGAAGTACTACTTGTTGGCGGCTTTGGCACGTGCCATGGATTCGTCGGACGACACGCATTCCTGCTGGACATCTTTGAATGTGAAGCAAGTGATGCAGCTTAGGAGAGAGGTTTCGATTCGAGGGTTTGGAGGGTTTGAAGGGTTTGGAGGGTTCCGGGGTTTTAAGATGTAGGGTTGTGTCTTGAAAGCCCGAAAATTGATATTCCCCCTGTTGTTTCAGGAGCACCTCCGGATATCGTCGGTCGTCCACGAGTTTTCGACAAGAGGTTGCGAGTTCATCGAATGCCACACGCAGGACACTTACCTCCACATTGCAAGGACATGCGTTCACCGTGCAGGACAGCAGCGAACAGCAGGACGAACAAAAGATCAAGAAGCACGCTTCTATGGACGCACACAGGCTAGCACGCATGGAGCGATACGCCTATGTCACGCAGGGCAAGTCAGATTTCCTCTCGACGGACATTTTGTGCGTGGTGGCAGATGCAGTGCACGTGGGAAGTGACGATTGGCTGAACATCATGGTGTACAACCACACGACGGACAAAGTTTGGGTCTGCCCGCCGCAGGCGCTTTTTTTTTTGTTAAGCAACACATATTTCTGAGGCGTTTTAGGCAAGAGGCGAGGTACGTCAGAGCCTTGCTTAAGTTGACCTTTTTGGGTGCCGTTTTCGTAGCTTCTGGGTCCGACCAAAATCGTTTTTCCGAGGGGAGGTACACGTATCCCCGCTCAGGCTCGGTTTGGGGCGGAGTCTTTCTATTGTATTTTATATAAAGATAGGTACACGTATCCCCGCTGACCCCTGGGTTTCGGGATTGGCCTGATAAAGGCTCCCGGCCGCCCTTCTACTGATGAGTAGGTACGCACAGCCTTGCTTAAGTTGACCGGGTCCCGGGTGGAGGCCGAGGAACGCATTTCGGCCACATTTTGGCTGCATTTCGGCCCCCAAAAAGGTACGCCAGATCCCCGCTTAAGTTGACCGGCCGGTCCCCCAAAAAAGGGCCCCTGGGTGATTATATGGTAACAACCTCTGTCGTTTGTTTTGCATGCTGTTGCTGACAAGCTCTTCCTCTAAGCTTTGCTTCACATTTTTCTCTGTGTAGTCAGACCACGCAGCAGGTCCAGAAATCGTCCGTCTTGTCGGCTGAGCAGTGGAAAGCTATGTGGAACAAGGCTTCCAAGAAGTTCCTCGGGATCGAGAAACCCGTTGGACCTGGTCATGCGGAGGACCGGCTGGCCACACTGTCTTGGATGCAGGACATAAACCACGGCTTGCGACCCATTGGCTGGACTTTTGGCTGCTGCCAGAGCACGCCGGCCGGCCCCGCGGAGGACGACACGAAGGCTAAACGTGCACCGATCATGATTTTGTGCACCGACCAAGAAGCAACACAGCTGGCGGCTGTCTCCTTCTTGAGGAACAAAAAGAGCCTCTGGATCGAACACGTCTCGGACCCCGCCCACAGGTCGCACAACGACGTGGCTTTGGCCTTGTCGGCCGCTGGACTCCTGAAGTTCTGCACGTGCATCTCGCTGTACAACATCAGGTATGGACCCTGGCAGAAGGGCTCGTGGGCGTTGAAGATCCAGCAAGCCGCAAATCGCATGAAGGACAACATGGACCCCTCGGACCCGATATTGCTCCTTTTCTTCCCGGACATTCTGCTGGACGCCGGCCTCTCCCCCCTGGACGACAACACGGAGGAGAAACGCAGGTCGTTTTTGCAGACATTACCCGACATGGACTGCATCCGCATCAAGGGCACGAAGGCCAGCAAGAGTCGGTTCAATTCCCTGACGACGGCCCACAGCGCGCTGGACAAAGAGTGGTCGGTCTTGGCTTTAGTTCTCACGGTGGTCTGCTTGGAGCACAACTGGGCAGTTTCCACTAAGGACCTCTTCTCGCAGGACAGCAACCAGGCCCGTGCCTCGGTTCCATATGGTGGAAGCAAGTCTTCTGCCATACAGGAGGCCAAGCAAAGGCATGGACCAGGAGCGGAAGGGCAGCGCGAACAGTCTACACTTAATGACGAAGTTCGTGATCTCGCAGGACAACAAGACGACAGCCAGGATGATGTTCCAGGTCTTGCAACCCGAAGAGCTTCGTTGTTCGCTCATGCTCAAGCAGCTGCGTTCCAAAGGCATGACGAAGGACTACTACTCTGGCTGGGCACACTGGTCTTGGATGAGCACTGCAAAGGACCACGTCAGGACTTTGTCGAATTTGGAAGGTTTATCTCGTGTCGGCCTCGACCTGACACTGGCACGCGCACAACCCCCGGAGGAGACAGAGCTTGTCTGGCAGGACTCGCTCGCAGGCCAAATGACGCAGTTGACACTACAGATCCTGCGGCTGCGGGCCGGGGCACAGCTGTACCATACTGGAGGTTTCGGTGCGACCGCAGGACTAGTCCATGCTGAAGAGCAGTTCCGTCGGGCAAGCTTGGATTTTTTCAAAGAGATGCAGTCTTGTATCCAGGACACGCACAGTGGTGGTTCTCGTATGGCAAAAAAATTGCTCGAAGGTCATTTCTCCCAAGGGCCGATTAGTCGGTACATCCTCGCCGATCTTTGCACTACCCGGTTTCAGAGCCTTACGGAGGACGTTGCACACGTATTGACCAGCATTTGGTCGGGCCTCTTGAACACGAAGATCATCGAAGACTGTAATAAAGTCCAGCGCGAGGCCGAGCAACGACATTCGTCTTCGAAGGACTTGGGTCGTTTGGACGGATGGAAGGCTGTGACCCAACAGGCCGTGGTCAAGATGTACGAGAGGGTGGAGGCACTGTCAACGGAGCTCTACCACACGCCGGCAGCGTTTGACGTGGCCAAACTTTTCTGCAAAGACACCGAGAAGAAGAAGATTCAAGCAGTTCGTCGTCGTTCCGATTCGTCGGTCAGCACGCAGGTCAGTGCCTCGGAGGTGCAGGAAGCACAGCTTCTTGCAGACGTGACGAAGACGAGGGACTGGGTCTCCCACAACCACGCCGAGGAACAGGAGGTTTTGGCTGCCTTCAGTTTACTGATGAAGGCGTGGAGGGCCAAGCGATGGTCGCTTTGTGAAGAAGGTTGGTGCTCTGGACTTTTGCCCGAAGGACATGTTGTACTGGCAGGTGCAGACCCGTTGTTCATCGTTCGGACATACCGTTTGGCTGCACTCGCATGGCCCGGCAAGATCGTTAAGGACAAGGACCATGAGTTTTTCGAATTCAACATGGGCGTTCGGTCTCTCTTTTGGATGCACAGCACATCTTTGGACTTGGAAGTGTTGCGGCTGCGAGTTGTTTCACCTCTGCGTGCCTCGGCTGCAGTACAGTTGAACATTGTCAGCCCGACACGGACATTCTCTACATATATATTCGTCCTATAATGAGTGACGATGATTGATTGACACGGAAGGCTTCTCCGGTTCAGATTGTAAGTTTCGGCCCGGGGGGGGGTAGCACTGAAGCTATTTTTTATGGGTTTCTGAACAACTCAGGCGATTCGACAGTCAAGGATTCGAAGTTTCACAGAGTTAGGTTGAGTAGCCCAGGATGGCACGTGCGTCGAGGTTTTGGGTATTGACGAAAGGAGGGTGTGGTTGTGTGTACTGCTACCACTTTTTTGGCCATACTACTAGTGCTAGTACTAGTGCTAGCAGTAGTATTAGTAGTAGTAGTAGTAGTAGTAGTAGTAGTAGTACTAGTAGTACTAGTACTAGTAGTAGTAATACTACTACTACTAGGACTGTTGCTGAGATTCCTTCTACTACTGTAAACTACTGCGATTGCTTGTAGTAGTAGTACTACTACTACAAGTACTACTAGTAGTAGTAGTAGTAGTACTACTACTACTACTACTACTACTACTACTACTAGTACCAGTACTACTACTCCTACTACTAGTATTACTACAACTTCTTCTACTACTACTACAACTACTACTGCTACTACTGCAACTACTAGTAGTAGTAGTACTACTACTAGTAGTAGTACTACTACTACTACTACTACTAGTACTACTACTACTACTACCACTACTACTACTACTACTACTACTACTACTACTACTACTACTACTACTACTACTACTACTACTACTACTACTACTACTACTACTACTACTTCGAGTCTTTTTACCAGTCTTCCTAGTGATATCACCGCTTTTTACTGACCAGGCGCAAAACTTAACGATTGCGATCATTTTTTACTAAGAGTGTTGCTGCCGCTACTGCTACTGCTGAGGTCGTTCCACGCAGGGCAGCCACCTCAACAACGGCATCGTGTTTTTGGTGGACAAGAAGATGGGCACGTTGGACTTTCACGCCGAGCAGGGCTTCGCTGCCTGTTCTGAGGCTTTGTTGCGCAGGTTGTGCCAGCACATGGGTTGGACCGCCACCCAACCCAAATCAGGTGTGGACGCAGGACATCAGCTGGCTGTTGCCGCCATGCTCAACATGGACAACTCGTTGGTCGAAGAGGACGTGGTTCAACGAATCCTGGCAAGGCATCAGACTGACAAGTGGATGCCGGAGGTCGACGACAAGGACTTGGAAGCCGTCGTTCGGGACACGCTGCTCATTGGCGAGCAGGACAAGGCCCTCAAGGAGCTCAGTGCCCGTCGGTCCACGGTTTCGGCCAAAAGTCTACGACCAAGGTATGCACGATGTACAAGAACGCCGTCTCGGACCTGGACAAGGACTTTTGGAAGGCCGGACAGGACACACGCCGACGCAAGACTCAGAAGGCCGAGAAGGACAGCAAAAAGCTAAAGCAGCAGTACGACCGGGTGTACGCAAAGCTGAATGCCACGACGGACGAGCTTGTGAAGAGCATGGTTCCTGATACTGTACAGGTTTGGACGGACCCAAAGAATGGTCGTTGGAAGGTGTCGTACAAGACAGCTGTAGTCAGCATTACACGTAGTATTTCATGGACACAAGTAGGTGAAGCTGCCGCCGGTCGAGCCTGTGTAACACAAGGTTGGTCATGGGTGGAGCACCACGAAGGACGTGACCCACCCGAAAACTTGCAGGAGCGATTGACAAGGTTCGACTCCTGAGTTCACTCGGACTTGACATGCCCGTGATTGGACTTTTTCTCCTCGTAGCACATCGTCGTTCAGCATCGATGCACACATTCGTCGGGCCCAAAAGAGGATTATTCCGCTTTGCACGCGTGTTTGATCCGTGCAATTGATGCTTCTAGTCAGACTTCTGTAATGCACTGCTACGTGTGTGAGACAGTGGCGGTGATGTGGGTTCAAGTTCAGGAGCATGTCGTCCATGCATTGAGCACGTATTTTAAGTAGGCCAGACATGTACTGATATGGCGAGCCAACGCGCCCTCACTCACCTTCTGTGTAACTTTCCCCACGGACACACAAGATAATGAGTAGTCATGTAGCGCAACTGGAAATTGTACCAGAAATGTTTGTACTTGAAACCTAGGTTGTTATTCTCGGTGGGAGTCCATGAGAATTCAGTTTTGTTGAAATAAATGGAACGGAAAGAGTCTCTGTACATGTCTCGACTCGTGGTTCCATCCTCGAAGTATTACTCGTGCCATGGTGGCCCGGCCGAAGTTACAGGAGGTGGGACTGTCACGACGACCCTCGGCATACGCGCTGTTCATGCAGGACATGTGCAAGGACTCTGTGGACCCCAAATCTCGTCGTCGACTGTCCCGGAAAACATCACTTCGCGGTTCAAAACATTATCTGCGCAAGTGGCTTCTTGGCTGCAAAATCAATATAGATACTGACACATGTGCCCCTTGCCTAGAACCCCAAGTCATCTGAAGCCACGGGAAGTAAAATCTTGGCAATTCTGGTCAGGAACCCGAATATGCCATCTTAGCTACGTACCAAAGTTATTTACTTCAGACATAATTAATAAGATGTAGCTAAAAGTCCTAATACAAGTCATGTTACTTTTTACTCGGGGATTACCTTTTCACCCAATCGTCCAGTAAAATTCCTCTGTTCCCCGAGGCACAACCGAAAGGACCTCCGTGACGAGTACACACGCAAGGCCAGGCAGGGCTACCAGGAGAATCGGGTCCAACGCGAAGAATTTCGACAGGCCAAACACACGGAAGTTCCCCCCGCTTCGTTCATGGACAGAGAACTGCCGGACGTCGCAGAGTCGCAGGACTTCGACGGTCGTGGCATTTTTCGCTACACGGCCGAGGACCCACTGGTGCAGGAGAAACATATGGGTCGCGGCACGTACGGGGAGATTTTCGCTTGCACGTACCAGGGCCTGAAGTTAGCCTTGAAAGTGGCCGTTCGCACGCCGGACAGGGAGACTGCACTGTTGGACGTGCACCAAGACGGTCTCGAAAAGACGTGGGACTTGACCCGTGAGTTCACTCTTTTGAGCCAGATAGGACCTCATCCGAATGTTCTGCGACTCTATGCCTTGCTGACATCCTCGACTGGGCACACGGGAATTCTAATGGAGCGGGCTTCCTGCGACCTCTTGAAGGCCACACGGGACTTGAAGACGGACGACCTTCAGGACGGAGTTCCCTGGAGCACACGACGAGCCCAAGTAACGACGTACTTTCGGCAGACACTCGCAGCTCTTACATTTGTGCACAGCAAAAACATCGTACATTTGGACGTGAAAACGAACAACTTCCTCGTGTTTCTCCTCGGCGAGCGGGTGGTGCTGTCCGACTTTGGTTTTTGCCGAGCTTTGCCACTCAATGGAAAAGCAAAAGTCAGAGCTGACGAAGTCTACACGACGTACTACCGGCCGATCGAGTGCCTTTACTCCGGGGACGGCAAGGCCTGGACCATGAATCCTAGTCGAAGAAAGTTGAAAGTAGTAAGCCCGGTGCGTATGTTCATTCTAGTAACACTTTATGATTTTGCGGATCTGAACTGCAGGACCAGATCAACCTCAGGCATTCCCGGATCCAACTGATGTCATTACTACTAGCAAACTCGCAATGGCCATTGTAATTGAAAACTTGACACAAAGATCTGATTCTTGATTCATAGAAGAGTCATGTCAGCACATGCAGTCGTAGACTCAGCTTCTTAGTCAAAGACATAGCCTGAAAAACTTCATATCTTGCTAGTAACAGCCATGTCTTTAAGAATTGACTTGTTTTTTGGCAGGAAGTATGACTATGTGTTTCATTTTGTTGTCGTTTCCCTTAACTGCTCAGCAGCTTCACTTTGATGAAAGAGGTGGAGATCGGCCCGAAGGCGGACATGTGGGCACTCGGTGTGGTGACGTGGGATTGCTACGCGAAGACGACACGCTCGCTGTTCACTCCCGACCCGAAGGGCTTCGTCAAGCACACGCCGACCATCTCACAAGCGCTCGTTCGTTTCCAGACTGCATGGCGCGAGAGAGCACGCGACCTGCACTTGCTGGACGACGACATCGCTGCACACGTTTTCGGTTCATGCTTCACATTGGAGCAGGACAGGCGCAGCTCACTCGATTTGTTGAAGGATTTGCAGGGCCGTTTCACGAGGACAATTCAGTCGCTGGACGAAGAAGAGGAGCCGTAGCAAGTCCCCGGTGTACGTAATGCTATAACTTTCCAACGTGTCTTTCGCAAAGTATGATTTTATGTCAGACAAGAGATGACGAATGTTGTCGCCGGTGGACTCGCCCGTGCAAGTTTTGCATGACACACGTTGTTCGATGACCCGATGTTTCGAATCATTGAATCAGTTCATTGAATCTCGTAAGAGAATTAACTTAAGAAGATTGCAGAAAACCAGAATAATGTATTAGACTTTGTGGTTGGGTTCTTTTTGTTCAGTTCCCCGCTGTCACACGATTGACGACCGACTTGTGCATGTCAAGGACGGCCCTTCGGCAAGGATAAAAAGGGCCGCTCATTCTGCCATTTGGAATCTGTAGGTTCTACAGAAAATGTACATGCAGAGGCGTGTCTGAAGTCCTAAGGATAATACACCGCTGTTCCCCCACACTCCTTGGCTAGATGCTTTCCATTTCCATGTTGCAGGCCCTGGGGCAGAGGCCACACCCTTCTCACTCTGGCAGCGACACACGGAGCACTTCAAGGACGGTTTCGGCCGCACAGTTCAGTGCAGTCTTGGATGGAATGTTCAGATGTCCTATGTTTTGAAATGCTGCTTACACTATGATGTTAGTTCGTTCTTGTTGAATGTGGTTTTAGTTTTCGGTTGGACTAGTCGCAGAGAGGCTCCCAATGGATTTCTTTTACTGTCGATTTGGAAAGCTTTGTTTTTCAATGTTTCTTGCTGCTGCTGGAAGAATGGGGTCAACCTTTCCGACCTGGTTTCATGTTGGTCTCCAGAGAGCCAAGTCAGTCTTCTGGCTCCAGAACATCATCTGAACAGTGCAATGCAGGGGCAGCTATACTGATAAAAGCACGTCGTTCAGCAGGATTCATAAAGAGCATTATATAATTGGACGAGAGGCCGGGGCTTGTGTTCGGAACGCCTATACCTATCGGCAAACTCATCGTCTCCCGGTTCCTTAGTCCTGCTTCCTGAGAGAACATCTGGCACTCGCTGTACAGTACACGTAGCTTACCCATGGCTTTGCGGCGAGCGTTGCAGTTCCAGCCGGAGGACTTACCCACGCCGGACAGACCCCATCGCCGTACTGCAGAAGTGGTGAAGCAAGTCGAGGTTCATATTCCGAAGTACAGCCTGCAACACTTTCCACGTACCCTGCCGGCGCATGCAACACGCACGAAGGACTTGTTCAGGCTCTGGGTCAGGAGGCTCGACCCCGAGGACGTGGCATACTGTCAGGACTTGGTGCGTGAAAGCACGCTCCTCGATGGACAATACGGGTCGATCTGCAGTGGGATGGACATCGCTGCGACGGTCATGAAGCAGTTCTGGGACTGGGAACGTTTCCACTGGGAGCTGGACTCGCCGGCATTCACTCACAAGTTCGCCTGCGAGAAGGAGCCCGCCAAACGCCAGTTCCTTTTGACGACGGACAGGAAGATCGAGCGCATGTTCTGTAACGCGACGTACCTGGAATATGACAAGGAAATCTGGGACTCGAAAACGAACACGTTCGTGCGCATGCCACGCTGTACGGTCATGACGGAGGGCTTCCCATGTCAGGATTGTTCTGTCCTGAACCCGTCGTCGTCCACGTCGGCCAACAGATCCTGCGTTGCCGACGGCACTCTTCGCACTGGCTCCGTGCTGCAGGGCCTCGTTCACTACCTGCAGTCGACGGGCCTCGTCGGACCGAATTTCTGTTTGTTTGAGAACGTCGCCGGACTGAAGACCAAGACCCGTACCGCCGACGGCAGCACTGGACCCTCCAACCTGGACCATGTCGGACACTTGATCAGCACAAAGACAGATCGTTTGCTGCATGTCTGGGAGTTGGACCCACGAATGTTCGGTGTTCCACAAAGTCGAACGCGGCTGTGGATGACAGCCATTCCACGCCGGATCTTCGAGGGACTCCTTCCAGAACACGAAGTACAAAAGATGCTGAACAGCATCATGGACACACTCCTGGGTCTGAAGGAGATCTCGGTGTCGGAGTACCTGGTCAACTCGAGGCCCATGCTTAGATGGCAATGGTTCCTCGTACACTGTACACCTCGCAGGGAGCATGGTTCCAGGGATATTGTAGTAGTTCTGATTTTTTTACTCAGTAAGTTCGGAGAATTGAAGACAGAGTATCAGAGTATCGTCTTCATCTTTCTGGTTTCTGGCAGGAGTAGTAGCTTCCCACATCCTTGCCATCATCGAATCAGGTGTAGTTCTGTGAGATTGAGCTTATTTGCTGCTGCATTACTCCCCTACCACCGACATACAGTACAGTTGTTTTTCTCGTTTTGAAGTTGATTCAGGACATGTGTTTTAGTTAAGGTCCTTGGGTGCGTCTGACGGGAGGATCAGGTTTCTTCAAGATACTTCTTTCATGCCACGGCTTGTTGTACTGCCTTGATTGAAAAATAGGGACGTAGTGCTAAATGTAGGTTCGCAGGTGTGTTTCTAGGTGTACTCATGCAATAAGTACTTTCTACTTGTATTCTGTTCTGATGCAGGTGCGTGCATATGGCGAAGTTCACCACGGAGTACAACAAGAAGTTGCAGCAGCTCCAAA